CACATTTGGACGAAGCAAACATGTTGGGGGAGTTAGAGCCTACGTGTGGTAAAGCTCTGACAGGAAAGAATCTAGTGAAGAGAAAGATCATTGATAAACTGCTGATAGAACCAACCCCTTACGTATCAGCAACCGTTACCAGAAGAAGAATTCCAATTGCTGAGTTTCCACTTTTCAACTCAGGAGATCACCCTCGTATCATTCTGCATTACATTCAAATTTGCAAAGAAAGTGGAACTCTAATTGATCTTGCCTGGCTTCAAGGTAGAAATGAAGCAGCTCCAGATGTTGTCTTCCATCAGCCAATGAAAAGGAAAGCAGTTGAAGGACCCTCTGCTAAACCCCAGAAGAAGAAGAAATCAGGTACACCTTCTGAGACTATTTCTGTTTATGATTCTGTACATATATCTACATCTGCTGAACCTCAAACATTAGGTGACATAGACGTAGACATAGATTTAACCATTCCCTCTGAACCTCTTTCTAAAAACCCTCAAATAGATCAAGTTTTATCAGATATAAGTGATTTTGATTCTGATGACTCTCTTGAAACCCAAACACAACCATCTCAAACACCTATCTCACAAAATAATCATGCTAAATTTTTTTCTCAAACACCTCCCAGACCTTTATCACCAAGACCTTTTGAATGGTATGGTGCTGGCTCTTGGAGAATACCTGGAATAAACGTACCTCTGGCCACGGAAAAGCCACCTTTCACCCTACCCCCTGAGAATATCTTTGCTATGAACATAACTCAACCAAAAAATCCTACCCCCACTGCTGAAAACACCATCATCATTTCTCCTGACGTCACTCCACCCATATCTCAAGAACTTCCAACACCTAACTCACCAACGATTTCACCTCTTCAATATCCAGAACATACCCTCAATCCATCTCATGAACCATCAGCAACACATGAACCATCTGAAACTCTTGAACCATCAGCAACACCTGAACCATCTGATAATCCTGACCAAACAGAAACACCTGAACAAGTAGAAACTCCTGAACCAACTGACTTTCTGAAAACTGTAGTTGATTTTGAATCCCTAAAATTTCTGAAAAATAAAACCTACAAAAAGGTTGTTCCCAAACCTGTCCAGCCAGATGTAAATGTATGTTTTCAAAATTTTTTAACAGAAGTACAAGCTTGGATAGACCTGCTGAAGGTAGACTGCACCAGCAACGTGAACCCAACAACAACAAATCTTCTTTGGGAAACGTTCAAATGAAAATTATATGATGAATCACTGAAATTGCAAGACATATGTCATTCTCAGGTGCTTGAGAATTTCTCCAAACATCTGCACGCCTTCCAATCAGAAGCTGCTGATATTTGGGACAAGAAGTCTACTCTGTTGATTGCCAATGCTCCTGCTGATCAAATTGACATTTTAGAAGATGAGTATGAAGATGCCTCTGAAGATTCAAATCCTCTAGCAATAACTCTGTTAAATTAACCTTCTGCTAAAGCTGCACCAGAAGGTGTGCCAACTCTTATGGTTAATCTGGGCACTCTTCTCTCAAATATAGTCCGTTCTGACTCAACCGCTTCTACACCAAAGGTTATATCTGCTGAAGCTACTTTATCTTCTGCTCCTACTTCATTGGTTATGGATACTCTAAATGAGCTTAAGAAGGAAAATGAAGCTATTCATGAGCGCTTGGACAAGCAGGATGAGACAAACAAGGAAATCAGAAACTGGATGATGAAGCAAGAGGAATCTTCATCTGAAATCAAGAATCTTCTTTTGTCTCTTGTTTCTAGAAAATCTTAAGTGTCATTCTGTTTCTTATTTTTTTTTGTACCTCTGAATATTTTTATTAAAATCTTTACGCTTTTTAATTCTTTTTATACTTTTTGATTATGACAAAAAGGGAGAGAAAATGAGTATTTTGATCTAATCTCTGATTAACAGTTATGGGACTAAGTCTCAAACATTACTAACAAAATACAAAGATTTCTTTCTCTGTTTAAAGAATTTTGCAGGTATCACTAAACTCTGGAAGTTTAATCATCTAAACATTATCTTCAAAAGACTTGCTGAAGAAAATCTAAAAGAAAAATCTCAATGCTCTGAAGAAAAATCTCAGGAAGTTTTTCTTATACATCTATTTTTTTTCAGAAGAAGAAATATTTATTTCAGGGTGGAGATTCTTATCTCTTGCTCAATTTTTCTCAAAACCTGAATACTTTTGTCATCATCAAAAAGGGGGGAGATTGTTAGAACAAGATTGGTTCTGATCATATATCAGAGTTTTGATGATAACAATAAAATATATTTTGTATAATTGATACTCTGATGAGCATATTTCTTTGTTTCAGATAATGTTCTGACTGAAGTATTTTCTAAAGTGAAAATCATTTTACGTGCTGAGCTGAATAAAAATGAAGAAGTTCTTTGATGAAAGAACTACTTATTTAGAGCAAGTTCTGATGCTGACTCTGATAAGAAACAATTTAAAGCATCGTCTAATCTTAGCAAGTTTCCATGCAAACTCTGTTCAGAAGTATTTTGCAAGCAAGCTCTGATGAGAAGTTATTTGCTAGAAATTTCTGAAGCAAGATCTGAAGCAAGTTCTGAAAGAATAAAGAAGCAAACAAGTCTTGTCAAGTTTCAGGAAACATGCTCTGACAGTGCCGTTTGTTCATTTAATGCAAAGACGGCTAAAGTACTCAAGTGTCTCTACGCTAGTTCATTGGAAGAAACAATAATGCAAGCCAACACGCAAACATTAATTGCTCCTCACTTTTGAAGGCAATAACGATCGTCTTCCTCATGCTATAAATAGAAGATCATTTATTGCAAGCCAACTACTCAACAAAACTAAAGAAACATCTTACGTGAAAATTATTCTGCTGCTCACAAATTATTTTGTTATTTTCACAAGTGCAAAACATATCTTAGTGATAAATCACAGTTTGTGATATAGCTTTCTAAGAAGCAATTTATTTCACTATTGTAAAGATTTAATTCTTGTATTTGTTCCTTGAGAGACCAAGTTTGGTCTAATTTCTCAAGAAGGCTAAGGACTAGTTTGAGTCTTAGTGGTGTTAGTCACTTGTAAGTTTACTTGTGCTTTCTATTGTTAGTCACAACAATTTGGTTGTGTGATTGTAATCTGTTTAATTGTAGTGAATTAAGTCCTTGTTGAGAAAGGCGAAATCACCTTGGCGGGTGGACTGGAGTAGTTTGAGTTCAAACGAACCCGGATAAAAATAACGGTGTCTTTCCATTATTGTTGAGCTAGTAAGAAAAAGAAAAAGGAAAAACTTATTCAACCCCCCCTTCTAAGTGTTTTCTCACCCTTCACCTTCCACTTCACATTCAACCGCTGTTCAATCTGAAACTCGTGGGCCTTGACGATCTCTTATGATTAGGTACAATTAATAGTTAAATATGTTTTTAATCCTTATAAATTACTAAATTTTGTTTTTGGTCCATATTAAAAAATTGGTATATTTTGACCCCTACAAAATTATTTTGCAAGCAAGTTTCATTATTTTCAGGCTTCGGCCCTCCTTGTAACAAAAAAAAATTATTCTACAAATAGTTTTAGTCTCTACTATTAAAATAATGTGTATTTTTGAATGATTATTTTGCAGACATGTTTAAATATTATAAAAATTCCTCAAAAAAAAAAAAGAAATTTAAAATTTGATTTTTAAATCAAGATTTTCATTACTTTTATTATTCTCTTTTGAAATTTAAAAAACTTATAGTAATTTTTCTCATTTTAAAAAATTCTAAAATCTGGTAAAGATCCATTTTATTGTATTCTAAACATGTATGAAAAAATTTAGGATTAAATATGTTTTGGTCCCTATAAATATCTGAAATTTTACTTTTAGTCCCTATTAAAAAGATGATAAATTTTGGTTCCCAAACTTTTTTATTCATACAACTTTAGTCCTTGTTATTTTTTAAAATTTTAAAACCTATTTAATTATCCTTAAACTTTTAAATATTTGAATAATTTTTTTCATACGTGTTTAGAATACTATAAATTGTTTCTGTACCAAATTTTAGAAATTTTTAAAATGAGAAGAATTAATATAAATTTTTTAAATCTCAAAAGATATTGATAAAAGTAATGAAAATATCAACTTATAAATTAAATTTTGAGTTTTTTTGAGGAACTTTTTATAATGTTTTAAACATGTATTCAAAATAATCATTAAAAAAACACATCGGTTTAACAACAGAGATTAAAACTACGTGTATAATAATTTTGTAAAGACTAAAACATGTCACATTTTTTATAAAGACTAAAAACAAATTTTGATAATTTATAGGGATCAAAAACATATTTAACCCAAAAATTTATTCAAGAATTTAAAAATTTAAGAGCAATTAAATAATTTTTAAAATTTTAAAAGATAGAAAAGACTAAAATTACACATATAAAATTTTTGTAGAACCAAAATATGTCATTTTTTTATAGAGAAAATAAAATTTAAAATATTTATAAAGATAAAAAACATATTTAATTTAAATATTAAAACTACAAAATTATATATGCTTTAAAGTAATTAATTAATTTTAATAATTCTATAAACATATTCAGAACAAAATCAAGATTAACAAAGCCATTTCATTTAAACTAGGTTGTAAGTGCATACTATAGTTTAATAAAAAAACATATCTTATATTATTCATATTATTTTCATTTGAAATATATCAATTATATTCTATAACATATTTATTTAATTAATAAAATATATTAGTTACTTAATAGTTTTCAAAATTTTATAATAACTCACGGGTGTTTTTATAGTAATAAATAATATCATAAAAATATAAGTTGGACAAATTGGGTATTTAGAAAAATATGATAACCCTAATAGTAATTTTCGGAGGAAGAAACCCTAGCCTATTAATATCACGACCGCACCCTAATTTCAAACCCTCTTCACTCTCAGATCGCTCCGAACCTCACTTTTACATCCCTAAATCTGTAACCAGGAGCGATCAGAGACAGAATTTCCAATCATGTTGGTGTACCAGGATCTCCTTACGGGTAACTACTCTCTCGGATCCATGCTTTTTTTCTTAGTTTTCCGTTTGTGTTTCTATTCTTCTTCTTATAGATCTATTTGAAATTTGTATTAGGTTGTTTAGATCTGTTGTTTATTTTTGTTTTGTGATTTGTTTGAATTTCAATTGATGCAATTCTGATTATATGGGATTGTCGATAAAAACTAATAAAGCCAGATTCTTTTCATTGTTATAGCAATTAAATAATCTCAATTTGATGGGTTTTCATACTCGAAAATACCAATTTTCTATTGCGGGAATTTTTTGTCGTGTAGCATCTTTGGCTTAAGGGTTTGAATCGTTTGTGCCCTGCTTTATTGAATATTGTTTCTCCTATTTTGTTTAATTTTCTTTGAAGTGGATATTAAAAAGATTAAAATTTTGGTGATTTTTAGAGTATATTTTTGTTTATGAGAAAGTGTATTAAGTTAATGGTTTTGAATTGCTTTAGCTCTATTAGAAGGCGATTGATTTAGCCCTAATAGAAGGGTGTATTTAGGGACCTAGTTCCCCTTTTGTGAATCTAGTTCCCCTTTTGTGAATATTGAGCATTGGGCATGTGTTTTTAGCGGCGTGCTTGTGCTTTTGTTTGAAATAACTAATAGTTTAGTGTTTAAAGTAACATTTAAGTAACATTAACCATATGTATGTTATGTTTTGTAGGTGACGAGCTTTTGTCGGACTCTTACCCGGCCAAGGAAATTGAGAATGGAATGTTGTGGGAAGTTGAGGGGAAGGTTAGTTAATATTGGCCAATTATTTAGATTTTCATGTGCAGTTATTAAAACATGTTTTTGTAAAATTGTTTTGTTACTCTTACATAGGGTATTGTAGTTGAATATTGGTCATTTATATAGATTTTCATGTGCGATTATTAAAACATGTTTTTTTTTTTTTTACTTTGTTGGGAATCTTTGTTGAATATTGCCCATTAAGATTATTATGTGTAATTATCAAAACATGTCTTCTGAAATAGTTTTGTTACGCTTGGGGATGAAACTTATAAATTATTTTCTCTTGGTGTGCAGTGGGTTGTCAAGGGAGCTGTTGATGTGAACATTGGTGCAAACCCTTCTGCCGAAGGTGGAGAAGATGAGGGTGTTGATGACACTGCTGTTAAGGTGGTTGACATTGTTGATGTATTCAGACTTCAGGTTAGGGCAACCATGAATATCTCTTTACTTTAGAAGATAAATATTTTAAAGCTAGTTTTTGAGCTCTTATCTTAGCTTGGTTTCAAAGCATAATTATTTTGTTATCCATTAACTTTTGTAGGAACAACCTCCTTTTGACAAGAAGCAGTTTCTTGGTTTTGTTAAGAAGTATATTAAGTTGTTGACTCCCAAACTAGATGCTGAGAAACAAGAGCATTTCAAAAAGAATATTGAGGGAGCAACCAAATACCTCCTTGGCAAGCTTAAGGACCTTCAGTTGTAAGTTAACCACTATTGTACATTCACGAAGTGCTCATTGTTTTAAGTTTGTATAGTTTCCTGGTTTGTTTCATCATTTTTGTTACTTTTGAGGTTTGGTTAATTTTAAATTAACACATTTATGGTTAAGAACATTTAGTTACTCAATCATTTTTTAAAACCTTAAACCACATTCATTATGAAAATGTGTTTAATACTAGATATTTTGCCTTAGTGCTTATTGTTAAGTTTTTGTGCAGCTTTGTTGGTGAGAGCATGCATGATGATGGTAGCTTGGTCTTTGCCTACTACAAGGATGGTGCTGCTGATCCAACATTTCTCTATTTTGCTCATGCTTTGAAGGAGATCAAGTGCTAAGTGTTGTATTGCACTTGTTTTCTATCTTAATTTATCATGTTTTTGTTGTTCTAAGTTATTTTGAGAGTTGGAGTTAAGACTAATTTGGTAATTTTTGATAATGATGTGATGGTTTTGCACTTAGTATCATTCCCATATAATTTAATCAGGTTGGTAATAATTCATAACATTTGATTTTAAGTGTTTAATGAAACATGCCACACGATTTCTGTGTTTCAAGATTTATTTGGTTTGTTGGAGAATCTTAATTTGTTTGGTGGAAACTTTATGCTGGCCAATAATTTAGAGGAGTGTTATTTGAATACCTAATATTTAACACCGAATACCAATGTCTATACCTCTCCTATTTTTTTTATTTCATACATTTACAAGAATTCTAACAATACACTATTACACCTAATAGATAAAAACTTAAAACTGTTAGAACCTTTGCAAGTTTCACATATTCTCCGAACAATTCTTTTAACACATGTTCTCAAAATACGCTGAAGCTTAGATAAGAAGCCTTTTGATACTTGACAAGGGTCCGTTTGGGTAGTGTTTTTTTTATAATGAAAAATGCAAAACAAGTGATTCTCTTTTTATACAGACTAGCATAAGAAATTCTTGAGCAAGGAAACAAAGTATTAGTACACGAGAAGCACCAAATGAAATGTATATAACAAAGCATATGCAATATGATCAATACTCCACAAGGATTAACTGCATATGATTGACAATTTTTAAATGTAATTTGTATTTAATTTAATCTTAAAAGACATGAAAGATGGTTTTTCTCTCTTATATTTTGGGACATATTAATCTAATAAATTTGGCACCATAATAATTGAACTGTCGCGGTTAGGGGTAGTGCAGGGGCAAGTTGTTATCAAATTCTTTCATGACTAGAATTGGAGAATGATTGAACCTGATTTGTTAAATAACTTCAACTTCAACTCATGATAAGTCCCTAATGCCTATCTCTACAGAAGTGAACAACACTTTTTCCTTAACCTCTGGCACTTAAATAAATCATTATTAAGAGTTATCAATCAAATACGACTAAATTTTCACACTTCAACAACAAACTTATCACGCCTAATGAAAGACTACAAATACCATTAGAAATTTTCAATTACCACGTCACGACTACACTTGACGTACAACATGCAGTTTAGAAAGAACCTCACCATCATGGACCAACTACCATCTTCATCTACAAGGAGGTTAGGCCAACAATGATTTGATGAACAATCACAATTAATGAGACTATCAACGATTATATATTCTCTCACTAGTTCTAGACCGGTGACAGATGTTTTCTAGACCAATGGTTCATAATGAAATCCAATAGTCCAAAGAGTTTGAGACAAAATAAGGCAACTCATGTGAAAGTTCCATCACGTCAAGGAAGCCAGTGTCATATATTGTTACTCAAATTCAATCAATCTATAAGGGCCTTCTTGGGTCTAACAAATTTCTATGCAACATATACCTTTTACTCCCTTTCTATTCCCAAACAAGTATTTTTCCACGGTGAATGTATAATTCGAATAATCTTTAATTTGAACAGGTAAATATGACAATGAGGTTGCCTAAGGCAACAAGGCAATTTGGTATGTCTCAATGATCTCCTTATGTCAATGTTGTGCTAGTGAACAACATGTCTTATTTTTTCATGGTGAAAATATTCGAATAATCTTTAATTTAGATAGGTACATATGATAATGAGGTGTCCTAAGGCAGTAAGACAATTTAGTATGACTTAGTGATCGGTAAAATAGTAAGTGTATTATTTTCCTTCTATAATAATAATAGGAAAATTTTCTGAATGTCGATTTCAAGAACTGCGCGTCAATATGAAGTTTAATGCGTGATTCAATTAAACAAAAACTTAAATTGGGGTTTTGTTTGGAAATTATCACTTAACAAATAGTAAAATAAGTATAATAATAAATTGAATTTTTTTACAGATATGAGGAACATGTTAGAGTAAAGTGTATGATTTGCCTTGTAACAACCTTGAATCCTGATTTCTTTAACGAGCTCATAACATTCAATTACCAGCTCTTTAGGTTATTTTCCCCTAAATCCTTAGTGGAAAAATCTTTGAACATCCATCCTAAATCCTAAGTCCTTAGAGAATTATGATGAAATTAGCTCTTTGTTTTATCAAGAGTTAACCGTTAACTATAGGGCATCCCTAGTCTTAAGTGATATCTACTATAGTCTAATCGTACAAAAACCTTAACAACCACGACCTATCTGATTGTTAACTGTAAATCAATCATTGTTGGTCTGACAAAGAAAGCATAACAAATCTTGTACAATTAAATTGAATATGAAAAATACATAGATTAAAGAAATTCGAATTCAAAGCCGTTTACAGAATCAAATCAGGGACACCCCCTAACATTATGGGTTTAGCTACTCATATTGTTTAAAGTAATTTCAGAATAAAAATTAGACATTACAAATTACTGGTAAACTTTGATCTTTAATTACTTCCCCTCATGAAAAGTCCTCGTTCTCCGACAATTGCATATTCTTCAATCTTCAATCGTCAAAAATATCTGTTGGCAAAAAAAAGTCCTCTAATTCCTTGTAAAAACTCATCTAAATAGTCATCATTCACTCATATCAGTTGGAAGTACCCAAAACGCCTCCACAATTTAACATATGGACAAAATAGGAAAAAACCAGGAAATCAGTGTCACAGGCCAACACGGCCCGTGTCAGGCAACACGACCATCCGTGTTGGCCCCCTGTCTTTCCAATTTTTCTTTTAAAGTCTCAGGAGGTGAACCTGATCCGTGTCAGGTGACACGACCATCCGTGTTGCCCCCTGTCTTTCCATCTCTCCAAGGCCCCCCTGACACGGCCCGTGTCAGGTGACATGGCCACCCATGTCAGGCCTTATGTAACACTATTTTTGTACTTCCTCCGAAACTCCAAGTTTTACATTTTTTTTTGCACTGATTTGTCCTGTTTTATTCCTCTGACCCTACAAACAGTAAAACACACAACCAACACATAAAATATGGAAAATGAAATAAAATACTTGACAATAGAAAGAAACTATAACTAAAATCAATGATAAATTACCGTGTAAAACCACTGATCAAACTCCCCCAAACTTAAACAGTTGCTTGACCTCAAGCGACAATTACAAGAGCTCATGAAATTCGCAGCATACCGGTACTCATACGTGAGATTTCTGTTCACATTGATCAAGAGGTAGTTCGCTCGATATTCACATGTCGCGAAGCTTCCTCTTCAAATACCTCTCTAACTATGCTTTGTACTTAAGTCTCTTTCCGATTTTCCTCTTTTTTTATTCAGAAAATCAAATTACGACAATGAGAATTATGATGATCATCACATACACAAAGACTAATCCAGAGTTTTTTTTTGTTTATGCACCAAATAGGCTGCATTTGCCACTTTTAATTACCGATGAAATTTTCAAACTTTGTAGTTATAAATTGTCCTTATTTGGATGACGTTTGGGGATCAATCCCCTTTGGGATGAATAACAGGGTGAGGGTTACCTAACTTAGCAGGCCGGTTTCCTTTTACCTCCTTTTCATTATTTGTTTCCAAATTTATTTGTTTCTCAACCAATATATGTGCATGTGAATCTAGATGATGCCAGACTATCAAAATAAACCACTTAAGGAGTACTTCTCAGGATTCAAATATTATGGTACAAATCTATACGTTAGACTCGTATCACTGTCACATTATTCCAAACTTCCTACCCTCAAATAATCATCCATTTATCTCTATATACTATTCCTGATCTCTTTAAAATTCAAGCTATTGCGCAAAGCAAAAATTCCAAAAATTTTAGGCAAAATTTGGGAAAAGCTGAACATGTGGTTTTTGCAAAGCAAATAGCATAAAACAAACAAATAAACCGCAAAATAAAACACTACCCCCCCCTCCCCCCATAAAAAACTTGAACTAAACATTGACCCCAATATTTCAGAACAAGATCGAGAAGGGTGACTCATAGAGGATAGTGCAATAACATCTGCTGCTTACTAGCTTTCACAAGTAAGACCCAATTTTTATTACCTGAAAACAAAACAAAACAAAAAGGAAAACCAAGTTATTAAAAGTGTGGATTTTCTCCCACAAAGCGCTTTATTTGATGTCACATGGCTCGATAGTTCATCCCCTTTATTACGGGGAGTACTTCCTCTTCCACACCTCGTTGCTCGTCCTTTCCGCAACCCAGAGCTCATCCAGATCACAAGTATGAACCACTTTATGCCTCAAGTCACTTCCAACTTCCATCTTCTCACCTTGATGTTCCTTTTTCTTACTCTTCTTGACTTCTTGACTGAACTTCTGAATTTTCATTGATGCCACCTGAGAGATTATGCTGGAGACTTTTTCTGGGGGTGGTTTTGAAAGTTTGTTGTCTCCTGCTAGTTTGATCATACCAACTAAAGCTTGATTCTTTTCACCAGCACCTTGCTTTTTGATCTCCAACAACTTCAAAGTTATCTCCTTATCAAATGATTTTAACGTTAGATTACCTGTCCATATATCAAAATTGCATCGACTAGTTAACAAAATTGGTCGACCAAGAATGATATGAGTCTCTTCATCTTCAGGAATGTCCATGATCTAGAAATTAACTGGAAATACAAAATTATCAATTTCCACCAATACATCTTCAGCTATCCCATATGACTGCTTGATAGTCTGATAAATAAATTTCAATTTTGTCCCACTCTCGCTTATCTTATCAATAACAAGCTTTTTGAAAATAGATAATGGCATCAAGCTCACACTAGAACCAGAATCAATTAGAACCCTCTTGAATGTTCTGTCTTTTATAGTGCACAATATTACAACTGAACACGGATCCTTCTATTTGATATGCATTTTTCTCTCGGGCGTGATTGCATACAATTTCTCATCACCAGGTACCGATCCATCTTCTATTGGTCTCCTTTTTTATAGTAACGCCTTCATGAATTTCTGGTACAAAGGCATTTTCTCGAGTG